AATAACAACTATATTTGTATACAAATATTAGTCAATACTTGAATTATGTATAACAAATCCTTTCTCGCGTTCTTGCGAATAAGTCTCTCCCAACATTCTAAGCTGAGCTTCCTCCTACTCTTATTCACCCCTCAACGATTCCATTAAAAACAGCTATTCGTGCAGTCGTTTTTTGCCAATAATTCAATAAAATAGGCCGAAAATATCCGTAGAATAACAATAATGATAATTTTAGAATAGAAGTTTCCATTTATTATATTTATTTAGCATCTTAAAACTTATTATTCGATTAATTTGTGTAGGGAAAGAATGCCATTCTTTTATTATAATTATTATCATAATTTAATTAGCAATTCTAACTTCTAAAAGTTTTCGATGACAATAGAAATTTATCGACTCATTTCATTATTGCAGATGCATTTCTCATTAGACGTAATATTCTAATTTCTTTTCAGTGCCGAGTCTTCACAGAATCAGTATTTTACATATTAATATTACAAATGCCCAATAAATAGTTGTATAATTATTGTTTAAAAATCTGTAAATTTCAATTCAAGTACATCAAAATTCAAGAACAAACTGTTTACTGACACGTGTCTAGAATCAAACCATTATAAAGAAACCCTGTGTACAGCAATTTTCTTAAATTCACAGTTATTGCAATATAATTACTTACATTTTTAAATATACGCTAATTAACACCAATATCCTTATATCTTTCCCACCTTTCAACCTTAACCATCAAAATTTAATAGCATTCATCTCCCTAACACACAAACCTCTGCGAAATTTCAGAAAATCTTTCCTTCTGTTATATATAACCTCCAAGAATATAAATATAACGTAAAACATCAAACACAAAATACAATATATTTTACAATTCCATATATAAAGTAATCAATTCAAATTCTTATCGTACAAATCATAGTTTACAAGGATGTTCAAGTGTAACATGAAACTGAATTTATTACATTTTAACAAATTAACATATTAGCTTAGTAGAAGATAACACGAAATGAAATACACTATCAAGTTTTATTACTAACACAATAAATTAATTATATCTTTCAAGTTTGAATCTCTTTAGTCAGATTTTTATGAGCGTGTCACCATATTTGTGTTTTCGTATGGGATTGAAACAGAAAATCCTACACATATGGAGCTCAGTTTCGTTTTCCGATAAAATAACCCAGTTTGTATCTATAAACAAACAATCCTCACACATGAAAATTGTTTTAACGTTAATTTAATCACCTTTTCGACACTTATGTAAGACAAGCCCAACTGTTGCCTTCACTCACCTGAGACATTTTCCTCGTTTCCAATTCGTCTTATTGCATTTCGTGGTAATAGGTCTTGAGGAACTGGCGAAGAATTTCTTTTCAAAGACCGAAACTCTGACATTTTTACACAAGACAACACGTGAATCAAAGCACAATAGCAAAAAAAAAAAAATTATGTCTAACGCTGCGAAAATAAGATAGCACTCTCTGGCGTATATATACAGTACAATATACGGTACTTTCGGTACTATCTTTAAATAATGAAATTTCTAGAATACGTAGTAATTGTAAAAATTACTAATAGAATTCGTAAAATATTACTAATTTAGAAAAAATAATAGTAGTGTATGAACTGAAATCAAGTAGGACATTAAATAAAAAAAAAACACGAATCGTCATTCGGTTGATATACAAATAATCACGGTGATAAAATTCAATAATTAAAAATTGTGAAATTAATAAAAATATGATTAAAATGTTACATAAAGAAACTGGTAAATACAAACATAAATTTAACGAACGTATGCAAATTAATATGTCACGTGGCGTAAGAGAACGAAATGTAAAATTATCAAGAGAAGAAGTCTCATTTAGTACGCACAGAGTTTACATGAGTCAGCCTGAGCTGGAAATGACTTTGTTGCATCAAAATCATGAAAGAATTGACACTTGTATCACAGTAATAACATTTGTAAAAATAAATTAAAACAATACAGTTATTTATAATAAAGATAGCATTAAAACGTTTTAACAATGCACAAAGTAGAACAGCTAAACGACATCAGATCAATGTATGTACAGTACTTTCACATGTTTTCTTTCGTTTTACTTAGGCCCTTACTGCTCATACTGATTCGTGTCTTTGAGACATATTAAGAAAAACACGGGAAATTAACTGGCTATCCTACTAGTCAGCCTTAACCGTGGCCACCTCGGATAAACTCCTGTATTATGATGTCATGGGAAAGGTGAATATTATGACTATTCTGTCTGTAACTTCATGTTATAAAAATCGACAAACCCATCCTTATAATGACATTTCGCTTCAGGTGAAGTGGTATCACTGGCATTAGTTTCAGAAAAAAGTGTAGTTTTGGCAGCGGGCTCTGTGTCGACAGACAGTTCAAATTCAGAAAGTGTAAAGGTATCCCGGAAGGTCTTCTTCGTTTTTGCCATTTTAATGCATGACGTTTTTTCCTTGAAAATACACACACACGCATCTTAGTCTATTCCGACGATATTACATCTACTCCAACACCCCTAACGATGTGCATTATCACCCGAATCACTTTCTTAAATCCTCGGAGTATGTCGATAACACTGGATTGTGTTGGACCATAAATTTAATAAGTGCATTGAAACAAGATGCTAGATTCCTGGATGGGTATAGACTTTCAAAATCTACGCAGTTTTTATTTATTCGTTTATTGAAACCAAGTATTGCAATTCTTTTACCACCTTATTTGGATTACGAGCAACATAATTTTTTTTTTTTTTGGTTTTTCAGAAATGTACTTATTAAGCGCTTCTTTAGTACTGTATATACCCAGGGTGGCCAAGCTCCTTGATAGTCCGAGCCATTTTTCAAAATTTGAAATTTTTCGCGAGCCGCAATTAAATACGTATTATCAATAAAAAGGTATGCAAAAAATTTAAGCTTACAAATTATATCCGTAGCAAGAGTGATACAAATTGTTTCTTCCAGAGCACAATGTCAGCTGTCCATTGCAATGACAGTTTACAAATTAAAAATCGGTCTGGAGTCGGTCGATAACGGACGATTACGCCACTGTTTATGTTCGTTCGCGCAGTTTTCGATGAGTCATATCATTCTTAACTTGGACGGAAATGAAATTTGTTACAACGTTGCACTTAGTCTTTCATATTTGTTGTTAGTAATTTAAAANGGATTAAAATAAAAAATCCTACGCCTATGTAGCTCAGTTTCGTTTTCCGATAAAATAATTCAGTTTATATCTATAAACAAATAATCCACACACACGAAAATTGTTTTAACGTTAATCACCTTTTCGACACTTATGTAAGAGAAGCCCAACTGTTACCTTCACTCACCTGTGACATTTTCCTCGCTTCCAATCCGTCTTATTGCATTTCGTGGTAACAGGTCTTCAGGAACTTGCGAAGAATTTCTTTTCAAAGACCGAAACTCTGACATTTTTACACAAGACAACACGTGAATCAAAGCACAATAGCAAAAATATCACGCCTAACGCTGAGAGAATAAGAAAGCGCTCCCTGGCGTATATATGCAGTACAATACAAGTTCAGTTCTATCTTTATATAATGGAATTTTTAGATTACGTAGTAATTGTAAAAATTATTACTAGAATTCGAAAAATATTACTGATTTTGAAAAAATAATAGTAGTGTAAGAACTGAAATTAAGTAGGATATGAAATTAAAAAACACTAATTGGCTAATCCAAACGATTAGCCAATCAGCGACCAGCTTTCGAGAGAGAAGACACTAGAGACAGTGACCAGAATACGGCCCCTGCATCTGTGCTAGATCTGAAGAACATCATTTGGCATCATCTTCTGGATATTCCAGTAAATATTCACAGCTCACTGCATTCAGCTGTGGAAAATATGGTTTTGCGAATAGAGTTTTGTTCAAAATGGAAAAAAAAACATACTGAGCAGTTTTAGAGCTATTACATACATTCAATATTTACACTTAGATTTTTCTATGATTTTTTTATTATTATTTAAGAGATGTAAAGTGCATCATTTTAATTATCTGTAGTGCAAATTTTGTCTCATTTCGAGCAGTAGACAGCAGTCTCTAAAATGGGAAACTTATTTCTCGCTAACGCTGTATATCAAAAAACTGCAATCGAAATCAAAGTTAATCATTAATTTTGAAATATTATAAATGTTTTGATAGGTGAATACACATTTGAAAATAAAATTTTATTATAACAAGTAAGAACTTGTACTAAGTATTGTATAAATATACAACAGTCTGTAGTAGATTGAATCAAATTACAGAAAAAGTCATTCGGAATAATCGGAATTGTACACTAGTTTATAGAATTAATAACTGATATTAATTTGTTTTTATCAAAGAGAATTATCTGTAATATTTTACATTTCTGTCAATGTTACTAAATATAAAACATTGATTTACCTTGGGATTTACGTCTGAATCTAACTTACATTACTTGAAACAAATATTGTGTAAATGAATTCATATTAAACAACATACGTTGTGATAATAAACTAGAAAATATACACGAAATCTACCAAACAATAATCTTCACGCTGTACTTACAACTATGTAAAGTTGCATTTCAGTTAGGGTAAAATATAATTTCTTTTACAACGATTTTAATAATTTGAATACGATTAAATATTACTACGTTCAGCCACTTCGAGTTAAATAATTTGGCACCAAATTGCGTTAGGGTGAGAAGTCCAGTGAAATTACTTTTACTCAAAGTATTGAAAGTTCTGGTAAGATTACGAGCAGTATCAAAATCAAGAGATTTAGACACTTTATCTGAAACCGTGCTTAACATGAGGTTTGCAATAAATAGTTCCTTCCACCATAAATTAACGTTACTTTAAGTAAAAACAGTAAATTTTTAATAAGCAATTTATTAATTTCGAAAAAAACAACATTTAATACACATTTCTTCTGTTTTAGTTGGTAACTTAATTAGAATAGTTAATCAAAATAAATTTTTATCCTTAGCATCGATCTGTGTGTATAATCTGTTCTATACAGCTGAATGTTTGTCGTACAATAAAGACGACTTCTTTTGTAAATATTATTGTCATTTAATACGCGGTTTAAATATTGTGTTTTAGTCATTATGAAAACGCTTCAAGACAATCAGTAAATCCAGCAAAATATTGAAACGTGTGCAAACAACTATACACTGTTCTGATGTGTTTTCATATTTAGCAGAGCACAATATGTAATCGAGGTTTCGAATTACAACAGAATCTGTAAAGAGTGCTTGTATTCTATAACGAATATTCAATTGTAGAAAAGAGATTATGGAACACAGAGCGAATAAAAAAGATAATGATTTACTATTAACTTTTAAAGAATATACACAAAAATCTAAATCTTAATGTCGAGCGATATCGGCATTAATTACTTGAATTTGACTTTCAGACATTCCACTTAATAACACATAAAATTTCATCAATCTCTTCATCCCGTCAACCTTTAACCACCAAAATTCACAAGCATAAATGCCTTTTATATCGAAGTCACCACGTCAAACTATTTTTCTTTATCATTTCTACATTCAGAGATAATAAACAAAATATTCGTCAACACACACAAACACATATACATGCATACACATATAGAGGTGGTACAGTAAAAAATTTCTGCATAAACCGAAATTAATTCAGTATTTGAATAAAAGTCTGAAAACTCCACACTAAAAACACTTTTCAATGATTGATAATAAACTTACTCGCTTTACCAAACAAAAAACAATAAGAAGATTAACGTTCCATTAATACGAAGCTACTCAGTACATACAAAAGTACGTATTGTATTGTTTCACGAACATTTAACGTTAAAAAGGATGAACGTTTTATAAGAAACGAATAAACGGAGTTTTACTGTAACTAAAAGACTGTTTNCTTATCATCGATAATTTAGGTCTAGACATAGTTCATCTCTCATTTATGCTACATAATTAACATATAATAACTGGAAATTTTTTAGACAATAGTTTATTGTCTAAAAAATTTGACATTTACTATTAACTTTTAAAACAATAAATTTCTACGAATAAACGGAGTTTTACTGTAACTAAAAGACTGTTTCGTTTGTAAGTGCAACACTTTTACTACTTTTCAAAAGGCACTTGTTTTTCTGCATAACTCCCGTTACTTCGATCAGTAAAGACAATATAGAATACAGGCAGTGCAGCATCTATAAATAAATAATATTGTCAGAAATATAACAATTACTATAACGTGTAATAAAATTCATATTTCAAAATATTTCTGAATTATAATTTACATTTTTCTACCTACTAAGTCTGATGTTTAACCATTATGCTTGGAAACAATGACTTAAAAAACGTAGTTTGCAATAGAACCGTTAGTCAGACTTAAAGGTTAGTTAAACATTTTCGAGTTTACAATTTGATGTAGCCTATGTGTAATTCTCATGTGACTTTGTAATCTATGGAAAAATTCAAATCGTTAAATCTTTAATGTCCATACCAAACTGTAACATAACGGTTGCAGTTTATTGTGTTTTTTGTCTAAATAACCTGTGATTAATTGACAATTTATCTAACAGAAATTTCTGCATATTAACTACAAATTTTCCAAATTGCAAAAATGCCTATCTAATCTTTTTATTTTTGACACGGTTATTTTAAATATATAAAAATAATATGTAATTGTTTATAGCTTTATTTAAAGAGCTATAAATAATTACAGTTTAATCACTGTATATTTATGAAAAATACAATGATAATTTAAATTTATTCATAATATTTACCCTTATCAAAAAGTTTTTCTTTACATAAAAAAATCCCGCCATAGATATACCAAAAGGTCTTCCTCCGAATCTCTTCAAGAAGCAAATAATCTGAAATGAATCAATTGTGAAGCCAATTGTTTTAAGTACTAAATGAATTAACGAAAATACATTAAAAACACGAACGTTGTTTATGCACGACGTCTCAATTGTTTTTTTTTAACACCAAGAACTAATTGAAAATACATTGACGTTCCACATTTCACTTCAGGCNTAATATTTACCCTTATCAAAAAGTTTTTCTTTACATAAAAAAATCCAGCCATGGATATACCAAAAGGTCTTCCTCCGAATCTCTTCATGAAGGAAATAATCTGAAATGAATCAATTGTGAAGCCAATTGTTTTAAGTACTAAATGAATTAACGAAAATACATTAAAAACACGAACGTTGTTTATGCACGACGTCTCAATTGTTTTTTTTTAACACCAAGAACTAATTGAAAATACATTGACGTTCCACATTTCACTTCAGGCTATGCAGCTCAGTAAATAGTGTGAAAGACAAGTGGCTTCATTGTCCTAGGCTTTAAAGGTGTTTCAGTTTTATTTTTACATTGTTCTTACATTGTGATGACCTTCTTGAGTGACAAAAGACAAGTAAAGACATTGTATGCATAGACTTTGTTCGTGTTTTTATTGATTTTTAATTAATATGTTAGACTTTTGAAATTAAAACGTTACATACTTTGAATATGTACTCCAAGGATTTTAGATAAGAATAAAATTTTCCGATTGTAATTAAATTATCGTATACCTGAAAGACAATAATCGTTTATTGTAAATACAACAGAAGATATTTTAAATTAACAAAAAATATTTTATTTCTACAAATATAGAAGTGGTACTTACAACTGAAGTGAATATCGATAATGCCCAGGCAGCTGATAACGTTAGAGACGATAATACCGCACCGATACATAAACAATACACTCGAACAACTTTATCTATCTGTACAAAAAGACCAACATATGTATAAAAACAGCAATCGATCGTAAAATGCACGTAAATGAGAGGAAGCAGCATCTTCCATTTTTCATTCATTTCATCGAAAATTTCCCAAATTTGTAAGAGTTTCGTCATCATCTCTTGAACAAGAGATTTCGATGCAACATTTCTGAGTTGTAACTGCTGAGAGATTTTTATCAAAGCTTTGCTGACAATAATAAAAAAAAACATGCCAACAAGAGAACTAAACAATAAACATTATTATTAAAGCCAAACCAACTGCCAAATTATCGGGCTATAACTTTATACAGCTATTAAAGCAGCCGAGGTAGACAAATTAAGAATACTTGAGAGCAAAAGAAGTAATGCAACGCATCTCGAAAACGAACTAGAAATTTTCGAGGCTACGGGTGTAAAAACACGTAACATTTGTCTTTTCTTAAATGCATTAAAGACGATTCCACCCACATCCATTGAATTGGAAAAGGCATTTTCAGTACCCGGACTTTTCATTATTAAAATAATAACCAGATTGAGTGATCGGAGTATTGACCATCTTTGATTTTCAAAATCTTATAAAAATTTACAATAATATTTTTTATTACGTTTTATTTAAAAAACGAAAATTACCTTCTAAGTTAGAAGTTTGATATAAGTTTATTTTTTTTTAAATTTTCAATTCAATTCAAAGGCATATTTTTTGTAAACAGTTTCCAACAAACTTTAATAAATTTTTTTCTATTTGTAAAAATTTCTACGTAATTGAAAGGTAATTTTAATATATATTTTATACCGCATTATTAATATTATGATTTTGGAGGTCGCAAAACGTATGAAATTACTTTAAAAAATGAAAAATAATTATATCATTCTATTTCAAGATATTTTTTTTATATTTTAAAAATAATTAATTATATCCCTAGATTTCCCGGTATCCAGGGAAACAGTTCACTTTTGTCCCGAAATCCCGGGACAAGAAAAAGACCGGGAAATGAGAAACCCTACTTCTGACATTCCAGATATTCGTGGTTAACATGGGAATTCTTTGCATTTTCTGCCCACTTCCAGGGATTGAGAGCCAATTGTAATAACTTTCAGCCATGAAAGATTGTCCTTAAAAAGTTAATGCGGCGTTTTCCCTTGCAATACTGAGCTGTCTTCGCCGTTTCAGCTGCACCCTTACCTTCCTGGCGTTAAGCATTTTCGACATCCTTTATCTCAGCCTTAACCCAGTACTGACCTCCCTGCTTTCAATGCCAGAGATATTTTTCGTCTTCTCAGGCAATATTCCAGATTTTCGAAATTATCGCTCTTCTAACAGTTAGGGAATATAATTTGTCTACACCCTCAATCCGGACAGTCACCACTTGGCTTTGTACAGTGAAAATAAAAATAAAGTTATTGCTAAGTGTGGTCGTTTGAAACTTTAGGTTAAATTTTACATACGTATACTGTCATGGCGGCACTTCATACTAGTCATTGATATGTGTGTTCAAGAACTACCGTGAATCAATAACTAGTGACGTTTGACACAAAGCGGCCCGCCGGCGGCTCCCCTCCGGGAGGAATCAGTCGGGAGTACGAATAGTCGGGACCGCCGCCATGACAGTATACTTATCTAAAATCTAACTAAACTTTATAATTATAAAAATAAAAAATGAAAATTTATACAGAAATTCCGTCATTCATTTTTTAACGTAATTTACGACAATTTCCTAATCTGTGATATTATCGCTATTTTAATTAATAAGATCTGTTCCATCCGTAGTACGCCCTCTCGTAGTGGTTTTTTAAAATAGTAGAAAGACAGTTTCGAAAGCGTGTGCAGGTAAACACAAATTATTTCAAAGTTTATTGATATGTAAGGATGAACTTATACCGAAGATACTTTTAGATAATGTATATATTGCCTAATAGTAGCTTCTACAAAACATCAAACCAGCCCATTTAATATATTAAATTGTAATATACAAGTCGACCCCCCTATAACACTGTTGATAATTCCGTTTTATATGAATTCCATGTTGTACAAGTCACTTAGATTTTATAATCATGTGAGCTGTTCACAGCCTGGAACATGTATTTGTAAAATCTAAGTGACTCATACAACATGAAATTCATATAAAATGGAATTATCAACAGTGTTATAGGGGGGTCGACTGTATAAAAATGAAACGCACTAATTATTAAGTTACATTTTCCACGCCATTTCCAGCAGAAATTGTTTAATTTCTGAATGGTAAAACTTGAAGAAGGTCACTTAATGTAGCCGAAAACGTTAGCCTCATTAAGCTGTATTAAACAGTTTTTTCTGGAAATAGTGTGGAAGATAGAGCTTCAGCTCGTGACACAGTGTTTGATCTCACAAATCTAGTGGGATATAAAATATAAAATTACACCTTTGTGAAGCAAAATAATTTTTTCTGGAATTGGGATCATTGATTAAGTCTGGCTATGTAATTACTCCGTTTTGACTGTAACCTGTGACTCGAAATCAAAAGTTATCTGCCTTACCATAGTGCGGGATTGACGACCTCGCACGTGTACAGTACGTCTGGGTGGGCTGACTTTGAACACCAATTGAGCTTATCCTCCTATTCTGAGATTTGTGTTGCAGTGTAGTCATCTGTCACTGGGGAGGTATGTAAAGAAATATTTTTTTTTCTGTAGCATTTCATAAGCGTGCTGTGTGTCTTTTCAAATGATGCTTCTGCATTGCAGATCACTTGTATTCGATATTCGATTACAGATTTGGTTTCGAATCCAGCGATATTTGGCATTCCCAATATCTTTTCCGTAAAGTCTGATTCCTGTGCTAATGAAAAGCCAAGAAAGTTTATGCCAAAATTTGCCATTATAGAAAATTTGACTCCTATTACAGAATGAATCGTCATATTTCTTGAGAGGAAGTTTTGACATTTGGGTTACAAGTAACAAATGTATACTTTCACTCTGCAAAAATTTAATGTCTTGTCATTGCCAGATGCAACTGCAAAAAGTACCAAGAAAACAATAAATAATTGTTGTTTCTAAATTGAACAAACGTAGACAGTATCTCAGGCACTTTCTAGAGATAAATTTCTTGTGACTTAAACAATTCTTGACATTTCCTGGTGCAGGCTATACTTAATACTTGTGGAAGACCTCTAAAGGAATTTGAAGATAAAAGATGAAGAAACAAAAGATAAAAGATTCAGTGGAAGAAAGAAGTAATGAAGAGTTAGCAATGGCAATAGAAAAAAAACTAAACTGTGCTGGAAAAGGGGGCTCTGCTGCTATTATCAAAGTTGTCTCTTGCCTCCCCTAAACTGGGAACTAAGATAAAGGACCAGAAATTTTTGTCCTATACAATGGTACCCATAGGTCTATCTGCAGATCAAGTGCTTGCAATGATTGTTGATGCAAATCTTTATACCCACTAATACAAATTCATACGAAAGTGAGTGAAAGACGTGAACAGTAAGTTATATTTATCTTATTATGTTGTGTGTAAGTCCAAATGTTTGTGCTACCCACCTCGAATTGCTGTAACAGAAACTACAATGGTGATTGAGTTACAAACACTGATCAACCACACTTTACAATGATTTTGTGAATCAAATGAAAAGGTATTACAGACTTTGTGTGAAGACAAATTCAAGATGTTCATGTAGTGGGGTTGTGATGGATTCACTTAAACTAGGTACTGGTAAATGCTAAAATTTTCTGAAGAGTACCAAACAGATGAGAATGTATTCAGCTTGTCTATGGTTCCAGTTCAACTTTATAGTAATGGATATAAAAAATTATTTGGCACCTGCTTCCATGAGGTACTGTCAACCCATAAAGATTTTTTATGAATGAAACTGATGAGATAATTGTGGAAAAAGTGAGGAAGATGAAAGCACAAGTTTTGGCCCTATGTCCTACCAAAATATTTGTAAATACAAAGGAAATACTTGTAAAGGCTATATTAATATTCTGTAAGACAAATGGAAAAGTCTGCAATACTTTAGCATCTTACAAATCTATCCAAATATGTTACTTGTATGGCACAACACCACATGGAATGAATCAACTACTAAATAAGCACAACATTGATGTAAGTTTACTCTTATTAGGATTGTCGCCTTTGTATTCGTGGATACATTTATGGAATGTATAGTCCATGTATCATATAAACCTGAAATCCAGTCATGGTAAGCTTGAAGCAAAGTTAATAGACATGAAGTTGAAGAAAGTTAAAAGCAAGTACAAGACAAGCTATGCATGGAATTAGGGCTTTTAGTGGATTTGGCAAAACAGCTTTCAGGAAATACAAATGATGGAAACATAGCTCACAAATTTTTCCAAAATGCCAAAAAATATGTCAAAATTACCAGCATTAATCATGTAATTCAATTTTATTTTAGAATGTTTAGCTTGTGACTTTGCCATAAATGTGGATAAATTTGATGCAAATACGAAAGAAACATAGGACTTATATCTGAGGGAATGTAACTGGTATGTGATGCCAGTAAGCTCAACATAAAATTTTATTTTATAGAAAGGACATAATCATAAGTTCAATTCTTCTAATTGGCTAACTTTCTAATGAAGCTCTGGAGGTTAGAAATAAACATAATAGAACGTACAGGGAATTTTCTACAAGGAAAACATCCAGAATGGATACCAGCACTGATGTATTACACAAATTATTGATAAACTCAGATCTTTACATTATCCACCATGAACCAATCACAAATCACTTGCTTCAGAAGTATTGCATCTACTTGAGGAATCACCATGACTTGAAAAACATCATCTTCAGACCAGTCAGACCAAAATGATATTAGCAATTCAGAATAACAATTTTCCATATATTCTGCAGTAAACTATTCCCTGAAAATGTTTTAGTGTACTGTAGTAAATCTCACACACAGATTTGTATATCTGTGTGTACGGTTTGTACTGTACATGGAGAATATTATATGAATAACATTGAGTGCAGCATTATATTAAGTTGTATATGTATGAATTCTTATATAGTTTGCAGTACAACATAAAATCCATGTCTAATTACAGTATTTTATTATTTGTATCTATCATTAATTTTTGATTATCTTGTTTGTTTATTGTGTGTTCATATATAATAGCTTTGTTATGTCTTCTAATATCTCATCAGTCCACAAAACATGCAAACGCTCCATAATTTCATCACAAG